ATGCTGTAGTCGGCAATCTTCCGTTTTGGTATAGAGTGGGACAGGGAGGGGGCGATGCTACAGTAGCCGAAAGGTGGGACGGACGTGCAGTTCATTCAGTTTTTGGGCACGCATAGGTGCTGCAGGGATTTTGAGGTGTACCTCTTCGGGCTCTTGGATACCATTTCCTCGTTATATGTGTGCGTGTTCCTTAGATCCTCAGATGGCTCTAGCACTTTCGTGACCACGGGCTGAGAGTCTGTTGCTAGATTTTGGCATTTAGCAACTGACATACGGTTTAATGTGAAGACAACAACAACAACAACAACATGCTGCGTAGGTCGAGTAGTACGCGTAATCGGCGCGCACCAACATTTGATATGGAACCCACCTGGTACGATGACGTTGTTGTATGCATACCGCGAAACTGCCGGCCAACCGAAAAGAGAGCTCGTTTCCTCTCTTCTTCTCTCTTTCGCCATCATTATTTTTTTTTCGACCCCGTTCCGATTTGAAAAAGTGACAAGGAAAACACACTCGAAGAGTGATTTCTGATCCCTACGGTCAAAGGAACCCGTCCGTGATCGCTTCTCGATACCCTGAAAATGTGGAAAAGAGGGTTTCGTCCTCGACAGACGTTGGGGAGTTTCAACCTTTATGAAGGTGTTCTCCACATAACCCCCCCCTTTTTCGAGGCTTCTTGTTTGCTAGGCAAGAGAAGTCTTCTTGGGGTAACCAGAACCCGACCGGCTGGCGGCGAGTAGAACCACCTTTTTTCCAACAATCTTGTGTGCGTGTTGCGGGTGCGCCACTTCCGCCACGCATTGCCAGAAGTTTCGAGTTCGATAGACAGCGCATCGTTTCTTGGCCCACCCACCGTTTTTCTTTTTCCGTACTCCGGAAGAAACTTAGGTGAGCAGCGGGTTTTGAACCCGTGTCTTTAGCAAACAAGAAGCCTCGAAAAAGGGGGGGGTAATGTGGAGAACACCTTCATAAAGGTTGAACTCCCCAAAGTCTGTCGAGGACGAAACCCTCTTTTCCATAAAAAAAAGAACAATTTATTATACTACACACTGCAGAATTTTCCTTCCAAGTTTGTTTGTGGGCATATTTTCGCTAGGGCGCACACGCATTTTTTCGCATAACAGCAGTGCGGCAGGGCGAGGTCCCGTGCTGTCCACGGAGAGCATGATGACGTGCAAGTGAAAAGGATAGGGTGGAACGAGACTTCCACCGGCGGTTAAGGACACATACGACGTTACCGATAGAAGAAAGGCCATATTTTGTCCAACGCCTGTTCTTGAATTGGGTCAGGCAATATTCCACATTATGGACAAGCAAGACTGCTCCTAACGTCGGGCCGATGGCAAATACAGTCAAATCACTACATCAGTCAATCTACGCTTAGTTCTGAGGCGTGCCAACCTTATTTTCATGCACCCGCGGCCGTACACACGCGTGCCCGTGGTTGCTGGCCATCACGAGCGGGATCCAACATCAAGCTTGAAATTCGACCTCGTCATCCTTCTGTGTCTCTGTACCAAATGAAGTAATTCTTCTTGTAAAAGCTGGGTATGGGTATGTGAGCTTCGTAGATAAAACATTCGAGGTTTCGTTTCATTATGCCAACCTCATGGAAGTGCACCCACGCACCCACCGCTCTACACACGTGTGACTCCGGGTGTTGCCACCATCCACGGGATCCAACAACAAATTTGAATATTGACCTCGTCATTCTTAAGTGTCTCTGTATCAAATGAAGTACCTTTTGTACTAGGTGGGTACGTGAGCATAGTCGATAAAAAAAATCAAGGTTTGGTTGCATCGTGCCAACCTCATGGAAGTGCACCCACGTACCCACCGTCGTCCACACCAGTGACTACGGATGCCACCATCCGTGGGATCCAACAACAAATTTGAATATTGACCTCGTCATTCTTAAGTGTCTCTGTATCAAATGAAGTACCTTTTGTACTAGGTGGGTACGTGAGCATAGTCGATAAAAAAAATCAAGGTTTGGTTGCATCGTGCCAACCTCATGGAAGTGCACCCACGTACCCACCGTCGTCCACACCAGTGACTACGGATGCCACCATCCGTGGGATCCAACAACAAATTTGAATTTTGACCTCGTCATGCTTAGGCGTCTCTGGACCAAATGAAGCCATTATTTTCGCAATAGATGAGTATGTAAGCTGAGTACGCGGAACAACCCTAATGTCGCTGTATTAAGCCGGAGTCGTGAAGAGACTGGGGTGTTACTGCTGTTGGGTAGGTGATGTCGGTGGCTATGTCTTCTGGTGGTACGCTCAGAGTATATGCCGGACTACACTGTTACGCTGCGTAACTGGTTCAAAGAGTCTCGCCGACTTCTAGTGTATGAGTAACCCAGCGTACCCTCGTCGAAAATTGGACGCCTACGCTCCTGCTTCGCCCTCTGTCGACGTTGATGCACGGTGAGGACTGCGCGGGTCTCGCCGCTTGCTTGGCAGGGTTTCCAGGGGGGGGACACGTTTCCGTTGGAGGCCTCGTTTTCCATATAGACTAGATCTCTCTCTATATTTTTTGCTGCGCGCAGTACTGTCTGCGATCCGGCTCTCTCTGCCACAGCACACCAGACAAAGGCTACGAACCACGATATGCTCTCCGCCAGCTCTCGTGAGGGCAGATCATTTGTTTAGTTTGAACGTTCGTTGTGTAACGTAGTAAGCAAGCAGAGAACATATGAAGTTGCCTTGAGGTTCTTCGCTCTCAGCGCTTGGAGCGTGATTTTGTGACTCCTAGACCTCGCCTCGCCCTTCGGAAAATCCGAAGAAATTTGTCCCTGGCTGGGCCGATGGCGAATTACAAGACAAATCCGACGGAAAAGAAAGAGTCGTGTGAGAGTGTGGATAACACGGGAGCAAGTGACCATGCTCTCGACTTCTTTGGGGGGAAGACATGTTCAGTTACGATTGCATTTTTTTGTACCTGGCAGGCCTAGCGTCCCTGCCTCTGGCGGACAACACCGCTCTTGCCAATAGCCTTTCGCTTCCTCCTTCAGGAAAACCATTTTCTGTTTCGGATCCATGTCTCATCCACCAGGAGGATTGCTGGGTTGCATGCCAAGGAAGTCTGCTGCAAAACTACCCATCATGCTCTCAATTCTTTTCAGGGGAGGAAAAGTTCCGATTTCGAGTTCCATACACTGGAGAGATTGCGCGTGTTCATGAACATGCACTTAATGCTTTTCCCTTCCTGCTTCAGGGGAGAAAAACTTTCGATTCGATTTCGATTTCATGAGGAAGATTGCTGGTGGAGTGCACTGCCAACGAAGTCACTGCTTTCAGGGATCAAAAAATCGATTTCGATTTTGTGTCCCTTCCACGCCGGGAAGATTGCTGGAGGAGTGCGCATTGCTTTCAGGGATCAAAATTTCGATTTCGATTTCGTGTCCCTTCCACGCCGGGAAGATTGCTCGAGGAGTGCGCACTGCCAACGAAGTCATTGCTTTCAGGGGAGAGATTTCGCCTTCGATTTCGTGTCCCTTCCACCGGAAAGATTGCTGGAGCGCACTGCCTGCGAAGTCATCGCTTTCAGAGGAGAAAACTTTCGGTTTAGATTTCGAGTCCCATCAAGCAATTTTTATATTCGTATCCCAACCTTTTCTCGCCGACAACCTCGCCCAATATAGGGGGTTCTTAAGCGCGGGCCGGCACTGTACTGATATTGGGTGAGGCTCAGTTCTTATTGGCTGCCCCAACCCGAGCACAAGTTCTTATTTGCCAAGTTCGTATTTCGTCGTCCATTCTTCTACAGAAAGGGGCGTTCGTGTTCTTACAGTATTTTAACATCATTTGCTGTATTGTCGGCTGTCAACCATGAGCAACACTATTAATAGTACTGCTGTCGATAATGAAAAATACCAAGGCATGGAGCAGCAACTGTCAACCTTCTTGGTCCACAAGGGTGACGTTAGTCCTGCGTACCCTTCCTGATCTACTAATGCTCTCAAGCAAAACCCACGAGCCTACAGCCGCATCCGAATCTCCGCTGTACTTGTCTAAGGGCAACTTCATCTTGTGCGTACTCTGGTCGAGCTCCAGCTGCACACAGTAGTCGTACAGGTGGCGAGTGTCCTTCTGAGATTGTTGAGTGATCAGCCCTCCAAACCACCCCATGCCCAGCCTAGCGAGCACTCCACGCCGCAAAAGCAATCTGTAAAGAGCAACGGGTTTAGCTTCTTGAATACGAAAGCCTGCCGGGATCTCCATTCCCTTTATCTCATCCTCCAGGTCTTGTGGGTCCATGCTGTCGTCGTCGTCCAGAGGAGCTAGCTCGTCGGTCTGGGGTTGAGAGATGTCTGCGAACGAGGCAACGGGAAACACAAGAAGCTAGGGTGTCATGTCGCGAAACTCAACCTGAACTTATCATAATTTGAGTCTAGCCGTGCGCGGAAACAAGCTAACGCCAACATGAAGGACATCGTCATCAACAAAAAGAAGATGAAGAGTTGGTTTTGTGCAAAACAAACTTACCGCCGTCGTCTTCATCGCTGGAGTCAACGCCCTCCATGAGCGTCTCACGTCCTCCATCGCCCTCCTCCGCCCGCCCCTCAGGCTCATCGTTGCCGTTCTCCGAACCTTGTTCGTCGTCGCTACTGTCTTCATCGTTAGCGAAGGTATACGGCTTGTCCAAACCCTCCAAGGTGATTCGATCATCGCCCGAGCCGTCCACGGTCATGGCCATCCCGCACTTTTCGAAAAGACGGTATCGGTACGCCTGTTGGCTGTTGAGTCTTGCCATGGCCGCTCCCATCCACTGAGTGATCAGGACGCGCCGATCAGAAGCTGTCAGCGACGCGGTTTCCCACCTCTCGAGGTTGTCCGACTGCTCGAGCCATATGTCCATCTGCCTCCCGACTTCCACCTTGAGAAATCGTCCGGCTCCTGCATCAACTGGCTGCACCTCGTCCGTGCACTCCGAAGGGCCATACCAGGCGAGAGTGTTGCAGTGCTTCGCAAGATACTCCTTGAACTCGTCCGTGGTCTGCGCGTGCAAGTTGTCCATGATAAGAATGGACCTCGCCTTGGGGAGCTCACCCCGCCCGCGCATCAGGCCTTCGCGGTAGGACCTCTTCGCCCACTCCATGCAGAACTTTTGGTCGGCCCACGCGTTCTCCTGGAAAAACACGTCCACGTCCTCGTGATACGCTGCCTTCTCCACCGGCGAGATCCGCTTTCCCGTGCCTCGGAAAATCACCGAAATGCGCATGGTCTTCTCACCCGGACCAAAGATGACTTGCATCGTGCACTGCCTTTTCTCTAAGCCAACTAAGGGCTGCGAGATTGCTACCCGCAATGCACCTCTCTTGTCCCACGTGTCGAGCAGCCCGTTCACGAATGCCAAAGACACTTGATCCACATTCCAACGCTCCCAGAGCTGGAATTGACCGTATCTGGGAACCCTGGACTCTCTCTCCGCGACCGTCGTGACTGCCGACACGTCGGACTAATCGGACGCCCTGTACCGCACCGGCTCTTGCAGGAGCTTGCGAAACAGCCGGTGGAAGCGCTGGATCTTTGGAAGCCGCTCTTCGCAAGACTTGTTCTTGAGGTTGACCCGGCGTCTTTTGGACAGGTTATGCCTCTTGGCCCATTTTCGCGCCCACCTGAAGGATGCGCGGAAGGACGCCGCTCGTTGATCCCCGGGGTACATCTCTCGCACGAGCTTCCGGAACGTGATCGTCAGCCACAGGGTCGACACCTTCAGCTTTCTGTTCCGCCGCTCCACGAACCCCTTGAACAGTCGCTTCTCTGCCTCAGGAAACCACCGCTTCATCTGCTGTTTGGCGAGGAGGCTCTTCTTTACGTCATCGGCTGCCGCCGCGACCAATTCCTTTCAGTTCTTGGCCCACTTCACTATATTGCTGTAGGGAATGTTGAGACGATCCTCCAAGAACTGAAGAGGCGTGCGCTACTCCTCCTTCCAGAGGTCTTCGGCGTTGTCCTGGAGGATGCGCAACTGGTTGACCGCGTGGGCTTTGAACATGAAGTCGTATCGCCTGCGCTTGGAAGCCCCACGAGTATCCTTGGGTTTGCGGTCCATAAAGCCGTTGCTATCTAAGTCGAGATCGAGAAAGCGCTTCCGCTGGAGGACAAACGAAGCCGTCCCCGTCGCATGATCGAACTTCACGTGCCAACAACGCCCAGGCCCGGCTGCTTCCCACGGCAGGACACTCCCTCCGACATCCTTCCGTAACATGCGCCGCAGCCGCACGCCGTTGGACATGTTTGCACTGCTGTGCTGCGTTCTCACGTGGATCCCAAGGCCTTGCTTGTTCACGAAGGTAATGGGACAATGAGGGGACTCCGGGATCGGAGGTGGGAAGCTTATACCGGATATGAGCTCGTTCATCCACCGCGAGTCCGCTCAATCTGCATGGCAAGGTGGAAGCAGGGCGGAGTTGCCGGGGGGGTGATTCAACGAGTAACGTCATGTATCGTTCGCTATGGAGTGTGGCGCTTTCGACCTCAAACCTCCGTGGAGAGCCGAAAGCTGTCTGTTTCGNCCAAAAGCTGTCTGTTTCGTTCGTGACTATTCAAACTAAGTATCAAGCAGAGAACGTGCACTGTTGTGACGCCAAAACAAAGTCGCCGGCATCCAAAGTAGAATATTTGTCTACACTATTTTCTTTCAATGTTCTGGTCTTGCTTGAAAAGAAGGGGGATGGACGAAAATTTTATCTTATGATGTCTACACAGCAGCAGCATTCCACGAATCTGAAAAAGGCACAACTTTCCGGAGTATTTGCACCGGAGTTGGCTCTTGCCAGCAGACGCAGTTGACGAGAACTCGACACTCCTCCACTTGCTTGGGCACCTACAGCAAGAAACAGCGTGCGAACGCAGTCGTTGCCAGCAGAGGCCAGCCCCAAAACTACGAACCTTTCTTTTTTTTTATTACGCGCCGCTACTGAAAAAAAATGGCCCTCGTCATGTCATCGTTTTCACAAGAGTTATTCTTGAAAAACGAAAATAGTGTGTAGACTTCACCGGTAGCGAAAAGGAATTGTGTGCTCACCGGTCCTCCGCTGCCAATCGCGAACGCGTTGCAGATGTTGCCGCCGAGAGTGCCTTTGGCAGCTCTCTCCCTAGCTTGCTTCCCGCGATCTATGGTTTTTCTCCTCGCGGTACCTGCAGCAGCAGGTGGGTGCTGAGACGGCGGTGCAGCACCTCGCGCGCTGCCGGTATCTTATTGGGATGAAGAGGACAGGCGGGTGCTGCTGGTAAGACCCTGCGTTTCGCCGTCAATCTGCGTGACCCACTCTTCTTCGTCGAAGACACCGTTCTGCTTCAGCCCCCACGCGCTCTCGATGGCGTCCCATCGCTCCTTCGCAACGGAGAAGCCCGCCTTCACGTGTGCTTTGATTGTCTCGAAGTGACGGTCAAGAATCAGACCCCTTTGGTTCAACTCTGCAAGTTTGCCAAGCTCTTTCCATATCCCATGGGATAAGGGATTGCACTGGGACATGATCCCCGTGCACCGCAGGCAGCTCGTGGCACGCTGCACGTTGTGTGGCACGCACGCTTTTCTCGGGGGCACCCAGGGGCACGACGCGTGTGTACAACGCCCACCCTCCCCCTCCAAAAAAATGCAAATATTGATATGTGGGGTATGTACCCCTCCCAAATCCAATATTCTCTACTCTGGGATCATTCCCCCCTCTTCCCTCCCTCCCCCTGCGAGTATTCTTATCTGGCAGCCGCTGCATTGCTGTCGTTCTTATTTGTAGCAGCAGTTTTGCACCTCAGGTGTGTGTTCTTGTTCCTGACAGGGCGTGCAGCTGAGCACGTGTTCTTATCGGTAAATTCTTAAATTTTGGATTTTTTGAGCACTTGTTCTTAAGTGCCATATTCTTAAGTGCGGGCCGGCACTGCTGTTAGCGCACTTACATTCTTTCACACGTACGTATGTATCCTACGCAAGCATCAAACCCAGTCCCACTTGCCATTGGACTATACAATGCATCCCTTTCCATACGCGCCTTCCCTACCTCTATTCCTGCGGGGTATACAGCGACCCCGACCGGAGCACCCGCTGTAGTCTTATGTATACTACACTGAGTTTTTTATTGCCCACAATAATAATTCGAGGCTGGACCTGAACTATAAGCGTTTCTTATTTGCGGGGTAGTAACGTACCGTATATGACAAAAGATAACACACCCACCCCCTGGACCGATTTTCAAAGCTCGATCACTCCACGACGAAGAGGATGCATAAACGAAACGATACATTTTCGAAAAGCTCTTGACAACGATTTCGACGCCGCCGTTTTCGGCGCTGTGACTGTTCCTGCAGTTGAGAAATCGAGCTTCGAAAATTGGTCAAAGGGGTGTGTTATCTTGTGTCAGATACGGTATGCGTGCCAGAGCTGTACTTATATTTGCATCAATGATTGAGTAAATTCACGACATTTGGTAAATTATCAACCGAGACACGCCAAGGGAGGATGGGTGACCGAGATGCTTACGTACGTGGGGTCGAGCTCTTCTTCTTGGTTGGGGATGCATTTTTTTTTCTCCCATGATTGGACTCTGTCGTATGCCACTCTGCTCCCCATCCTCCACTTCTACTAGCTAGAGGACCCAACCGGGGCCACACAGGCGGGAGCGGATTGGACCCGCTCCTGTGCGGTCCCTGCCTGCTGAGATGTTTTTATCGCGAGAAGCGTACAGCAATCGATCCCTTCCTGCGACTTACTATGAAGTCGATCAAGTTTATTTACAACGAGCTTTCTTGCAGCGCGTCTCTTCCAACCAACGAAGACAATAATTTAATTATTGAGAAGAAACTCACTCTGCCGGGACTCGAACCCATACCTGACCCTTAGCAGGCTGCGAGGTTACCCACTAGACCACCGGGGGGGGCTGTAGTGATAGGACACATGTGGTTCTTGTTTGCAGTTCACGAGCAGCGACGTTGTTTTTGATTGGGCTCATAATAATATTAAATGCAGCGATCTCAACTGCGGCTGTACTTTTGAACAACGCATGCATCATGCATGCAATAATAATGTGAAGACACCAACAACAACAATGTATCTACACAAATTCGAAACATATTAATTATTCGACTGCCGCCCTCCACCGTCGGTCCCCGACCCCTGACCCCTCCCTTGTTCGAGTGCAGGACACGCGACGCTACACAGCAGATAGCGTTTTTTTCTCACTAAATAAACCCTGGCCTAGGATGAAAGCGACGCGCCACAAAGAAGCTCGTTTGTTAGGGACGACCTAAGGGTCGACCTAAACAGGCCAAAAAAAACCTGCGAAACCTGCGATCACAGGTTTTACCTGCGAATATCGAGGCTTTTTCCCTGCGATCGCAGGTCGGGAGGAGGGCCGAAAAAATCACCTCCGCTCCTTTTCTGCGATCGCAGGTACAAACCTACCTGCGATTTCTGCGATTCTCTTGAGAGCATCACGTTGGATCGGCACAGCACACCAAGCCACCTGTATCACCCCCGTAGCTGCACTATAACCCCCAGAACTGATCGCCAGAGTAGGCTAGGGTCCATGGCCGACAATAGAAGGCGCCGGGAGCTTCGGGGAACCTCACAGACGGCTCCGCAAAGGCGGCGACTGCGGCGCTCCGACCAAAGAGACCATGATACGACTTCTACTGCTGCGATCAAGGCCGCCGTGATGGCCTTCCTTGTCCTGGTCGGTGTTGCAACGGCAGGAGCACAGGCCGCTGAGCTGTACGTGCCGCAGCAGCGGGCACCTGTCTACAATCCCCGACGTCTTGTCTGGGAAGATCATGTGGAAGACTTGGAGAAGCGAGGACCCAACTGCTTCAAGCGATACTACAGGAGGATGAGCAAGACGAGCTTCGTCAGACTGGCCGACCGTAAAGCAGCAGCAGCAACTGCTTCCCCGCTCGTCTGGAACCGTTCAGGAAGGGACCCAACCCTCCTGGGCCTTGATACCCGCGGTGTCACACTATACCCAACTGATGATGTTGTCGCACCCTGTGTTCCCTTTTCCCTGCCGTAAGCTGTAGACTATGCTCTTAGTACTGCCTCCGGCCTCTCTTTGTGTGCTTTTTTTCTTCTTTGTTTCTTTCTTGTTCTCCATGTCCTCTCTACGATGATCTTGGACGATACCTCGAGCTCCTTGTTATTTTTGTTTTTTCCTTTGCTGGCTGCCTGCCACCTCTGCTGCCTCTTTGGTGCGGTGCCTACCCTACACTAATGCGCTGGTGCATACTGCACTGCTGTAGTACCTGGTACTGGTGTACGTTGTCCTTCGATTTTTCATTTTTTTTATTTTTGTGGGAATATATATATATGTATGTGTTTGTTTTTTCGCCCCCCGTCTTGCTGCACCCCCTGAGGTGTGGTGCAGGGCGGGGGATGCCTGGTCGGCGGGAACCCGGCACGGAACCCTCCGGCGTTGTAGGCGGGTGTGGGAAGCGTTCCCCGTTCTCCTTTTATTTTATTTTGATCGGTCTCCTCGACGCTCTTTCTCGTTTGGTGCGGTAGCTGGTCTTTCTTTCTATCATTTTGTTTCTCTTCCGAGTGGTTTTTGTACCCTATTTTTTTCTGTTTCTTCGTGGGGTCGTGTATGCCGGGTTTTGAGACCACGGGCTCCCAATCTTTCTTTTTTAGAGCTAATGTGAGAAACAACAACAACAAACAAAAAACTGTTTTGGTCGGCCATGGTGGATGTTTGTCTGCTGTGTACGGCCTCTGCTGTTGTGTACGGCCTCTCTGCGGTCGTCGGGAGCGGTTTGACCGCCAATATCGCAGAAATCGCAGGTTTTTTTAATTTTGTGCTCTGCTTCGTTTAAAACGCCCGCATTTATTTTTCTGCGATCCGGGGTCTGAAACCTGCGATCGCAGGTAAAATTCCGAGGTCGTTTAGGACGACCCTTCGTAAACAATAATCGACTTCGTAAGTCGCGAGGGAAGGGGTTGCTGTACCCTTGTCGCGAGAAAAATACCTTAAGCATGAACCGCAGGAGGGGTTCCAACCCCCCCCTCCTATGTGACCCCGGTTGGGTCGTCNCGTAAACAATAATCGACTTCGTAAGTCGCGAGGGAAGGGGTTGCTGTACCCTTGTCGCGAGAAAAATACCTTAAGCATGAACCGCAGGAGGGGTTCCAACCCCCCCCTCCTATGTGACCCCGGTT